AATACTCATAAGAAATCCTCACCCATTTTTCCAAATGCCCTCAGGTTCACATGGTCACACACTCTGCTGAAACCTGGTCTGGTTATTTTTAAACCTAGCTCTGTGCTTTGTGTCCAACAATCACCACCCCCATGACCCCCACTCCCTGGGGGACCCATTCCCTTCCGCCTCCAGGCCCACACCTTCCCCCACCCCAAGGCCAGAGATTCTTGATGAATGAGCCTGGCTCTGAGCTCCAGATTCCAGGCAGGGACGGATTTCCCAGTGGTTATCTGATGCTCAGTCCTCAATGGAAACAATGTGTGGCCTCCGGAGGCCTAGGGCCCCCCTGCTCCTCACCTCTCAGTTGGGGCTCCCATCTGCCTCTAGACCTCTCCTCCTGTCTCAAACCCCCAGGCTTCCCTTGGTCTCCCCAGCCCAGTGTCTCTCACCCCATTCTCCTGTCTTCATCTCTCCACGTCTCCTGGACTCTCCATTCCTAGAGCACCTCCGGTTCCCTCACTGTCTCCCACCTGGAAGGCACGTACTCACGTGAAGCATGTTCCTCACCTGTCAGCCTCAGGGAGGGAGAGGAGACACCTGGATTCAGCCCCAAGGCCTAAAATCAGGCAGTCCAAGGGCCAATACCCTTCATACTTCTGATACTGGTGCTCTGTGCACCCTTGGGCAAGTCACATCCCGCCTCTAGGCCTCAGTTTCCCAATGCATAGAAGAAAGAAGGTGGACTAGCTAATCCTTAGGCTACCTCCTAGCTCTGACATTCTATGATTCTGTGATGGGTTCTCACCCTGCTGTGAGGTTACCGCTCCCCAAATAATCAATTTATTTGATACATACAATGATTTGTATGCCACATTCATGCATCTAGGCCCTAGAAATATACACACATTCCTGCCACCCAACCCCCACCTAATTCTCATCCATAACACCCAGAGACCCAGGCTAAGAAAACAAAAAGTGGGGCCTGTTTGGAGAAGCCAGAAGCCCACACCCTTTCCAGACTCTTCCCCTTTTTGTTTCTCTATTGCCAGGCACTTGAGACTCCAGAATGGGAAACTTAATTGATGTTGGCCCAGCAACATGGCAGCCCAGGTCAGCCCACCTGTGAGGTCAGCAGGGGCTGGAAGTCAGAGAGTAGGACTGGGTGGGTAGCAGAGGGGGAAGGAAGGACCCGAGAGGCAGGTGAAGGGGATTTCTTGGCATTTTGAAACCCAACCACTACCATGCAAATGAGATCAGCACAGCATGCAAATAGACAGAATTGAGTTGAGACAGGGTGGGGCCACAAACAGCTTGGCCCTGGAGCCCCAGCCAGGGAAAAGGGCTTCCTCTGGAAGGAGCAGGACGGCTGGAGGAGGCTACAGTTGGGGCAGGGGGCCCTGTGTGCCCAAGCCAGCAGGGGTGGGGATTAAGGCCCGACGCCCTGCTGTCAGGTTAGAGCTGATGGATCACCGCTGGTGGCCGAGCACAAAGGCTGTTCTGTGCTTGGCACCAATGTGTTCCCATCCATCAGAGGGCAGCCTGCATGGGGTGGACGAGTGTGCAGGGGAGGAAGGCCAAGCCCCTAGATGCGGCTGCTCCATAGCTCAGCTATGAAAGAGGAACAAGGTGGGTAGAGGACCAATCCCCCCATCAGGGTTTTGAGGTCAGAGATGCCTGGGCCACTCTATCTTCTCAGTCCTAGGAGGGTCTGTGCCCCACAGCTAGGCCCTGACATGGTCCTCAGGCCACTTACACGGACAGACATACGCAAACACATCTACAGACAGGGCTTCACTGAAACCCAGACACAGAAGATCACCCTAACCTTCCAGCTCTGCCCTCACCCTTGGTTAGAGACAAACAACACACACACAAGGCCAAACTCACACCTCCACCAGAGAGTAGGCACTGAGCCTATTTCCCCGCTCTCACCCAGGTCCAGCCCCAGCCCCAGGGACTGACGCAGAGTGGGCCCCTAGGAAAATGGGTTTAGCCAAGGAAGGGGAGTAGTTAGTAAATTCTTTCTCTGGATTATAGCATGGCACTTTTCACCAGCTAACACTGCCTACCTTCGTTAGATAACTTTGTGTACTCCTCTTCCTTACTCAACTGTGACTACGCTGCAGGCACAAAGACCACCTCTTATTCACATCGGTGACCCCAACACCCAGCACAAGGTGTGCAATACATGTTTCTTGATTGAAAGAGTGAGTGAATAAATAGATACACACCTGGGGTGGGGCCAGGTTCTCCCTCCCCCACTCCTGCTCTTCTGGTCCCCTGGAGCCGGTGACAGCCAGGGCAATAGCCTGGGATACAGGCCAGGAATGGAGAGGACAAAGCAAGGAAAGGGACCGATATTTATTGGGTGTTTCCATGTGCCAGGTGCTCTTTCATTACTACAACGACCACAGTCCTCTCGCACACGCGTGCACGCACGCACACACGCGCACACATGCCCTCTGCCGCCTGAAACACACACCCTCTCCTAGTGGAATCCATCCTCCCGCCTCTGAGTGGGTGGCTCGAACCTTCAGCACCTCACTCCTAGATCACTGCTATGGTTTTCTATGGCCTCAGCTTTCGAGTCCACCCATGTCCAGCTGGGCCTCCTCCCATCTTTACAGACTTGTCAAATCGCCTACTTACCGGAAGCCTGAGAGCTGTGCAAACCCTCTGCCCAGAGCTACCTTCCCCTCCTCTCTTCTCATCTAAATCCCACCTTCTCCAAGAGCCAGCCCAGCACTCTCCTCCTCCTCAAGCCTTCCACGGAGACCAGACTTGGGTGATTTTGACTTTCTATAAACTCCCGAGATGCTGGGTTGATGAGCCCACTCATTTGCAATCGATCACAGCCCCCATGTTTCCTGTTGAATTAAAATAGCTCTCTCTTACATTACAGTTTAACATTCACATTTCGGCGTCCATGCTCGCCAACTAGATAGTAAGATCCTGGAAATCAGAACAAGCCCAGCTTTCCTGCTTCCATTTTTAGAGGATGTGAACACCTGTTTAGGGGCAAGGCAGATTGCATCCCAAAAGGACCAAACGATGCAATTTTTCGGTTTCCATAGTAACTTCCACATCACTTCTTTCCTCAGGGCTCATAGGACTAGGGTGTAAACTGAGGCAAGTTTTTTCTTTTCCCTTTGCTTGGCAGGATGTGTGTTAGAAATAGCACTTCTTCTTCAGCCCAGCTGGTCAAAGCAGGGTCAAAGCAGGGTTGAGTACCCAGAGTCCCCCCTGCTGCCACACTGGGAAAGCCAAGAACCCAGTGAAGACCTCACTGCTTCCCTCAACATGCTTGGGTTTTTTTTATTGCCCAGCTGCGACCCCTCCTCATCTCTAGTCCCTACCCCAAACAGACACCAGCATTTTCCTGGCTCCTCACCATAAACCATGAGCGGCAAGAAAGCCGGCTCCTTCAAGCTCCATATGGGTCTCACCACCCCTGAGAAGTCCTTTCTGAGTCCCCAGCACCATTCCTCCTCCTCTTATTGCCACCGGTTGGAACTTATAACAATCTCAAATGTCAAGTGGAGGAGGGATCAGACTTAATCCACAGGATCCTAGAGAAAAAACGGGACCAGAGGATTTTTGGGAAGCACATCACAGTCCAAAATCCAGAAGGCCTCCCTGTGGCCAGAGCTGCACGTCAGTAGAATAGGCTGCCCTGTGAGGTCAGCAGCAGTTGGACAATGGCCACCCATGAAGGGGACTCAGGAATCATGGGTTGGGGGGAATTAGGTGACCATTGGGGTCTACTAATGGTCAGGTCCTTGAGGGCAGAGACCCTGCCTGGGGCATCCCTGTAACTCTTCAGCCCTAGGGCTGAGCTTGTTCACTGCTGGTCTCTCAGGCCAGCCCACAGTCTTGGGAACATTGGTCCTCTCAGACCCCAAACCCTCTGCTGAGAGGTGACCATGGACTGAGAAGCCTGAAGATATAGTAGTCCTTCCTCCCACTGACATTTGAGACCTACACGCTACGTGTGAAACTGATGGCTTAGACGAGAAGATGCAGAACCACCACACCAGGTGGCCAAGGAGAGGCGAGATTCAAAGTGAGTCTGGAGGGTTCTGCTTTCTCTCCCTCCCACCCCACCCACAGTAAGCAGCCAGGAAAACCTGGGTGCCCGGATGGGGCAGTAAACGGAGTTGAAGAAGCAACACAGAAGGACAGATAAATGATCCAGAGGGAGAGAAGGAGGAGACAGAGGATTTAATAGATCCTGACCTTGCTACTGCGGGGAAGGTGGCAAGGAGTAGCCTGTAAGTCCTCATTCTTGCTCTGCCCCTGACCAGCTGGGTCAAAGGGAAAACTTCTACTGACCCCTGCCAAAGGGACCAAAAAATTCTTCTTACCTCAGTTTCCCCGTTACAGGAGACCTGAGACCTAAGATGTCCAGGCTGCTTTGGAAACCCAAAAGTCCAGGTTCCTTCTTACCCTGGACATTGAGCCCCCAAACATGCCCCGAATTTGAAGTGGTCTCATGCTTCTGATGGATGGAGGCTGGTTAAGTGCTGTCAGGAGGCAGGGGGATGGACACATTGACTTCTTCAGGCCCCTTCCAGCCTTGAACCCTGCCCTTCCTTGTTCCCTCCCCTCGGCTCCCCCCCCACGCCCCACTTCTTTGGGACTAGCAAGGGGAAAGCAGGCAGGCCGCCTGGCTAGGAGTAATTGAAAGGAGCAGATGAGAGGAGAATGTGTGTCCTCCCCCACCTCCCCTGCCCCACGGGGGCTGCTGAGAAATGAAAACTAATCAAATTACACCGACGGCCTCCCTCCCCGTGCACAGGAGCCAGCCCAGGCTGGGGCAGGCAGGCTTTGGGGGGGGGTGGGGGCTGGGGGGAGAGGGAAGGGAATCACATCTAATCCACTGTAAACGTCTTGATGTGCAGCAACAGCTTAGGGGGGGCTCAGGTTTCTGCGGCATTGGCTATATTTATCTCTGGTTCCATGCCAGCAGGGAGGGTTTAAATGGCACCCAGCAGTTGGTGTGAGGGGCTGCAGGAGCTTGGGGGCCGGTGGCAGGAACAAGGCTTTTCCGACCCCATGGAGCTCTATGAGACATCCCCCTACTTCTACCAGGAACCCCACTTCTATGACGGGGAGAACTACCTGCCCGTCCACCTCCAGGCCTTTGAGCCACCAGGCTATGAGCGGACTGAGCTCAGCCTGAGCCCTGAGGCCCGAGGGCCCCTTGAGGACAAGGGGCTGGGGACCCCCGAGCACTGCCTGGGCCAGTGCCTGCCGTGGGCGTGCAAGGTGTGCAAGAGGAAGTCGGTGTCGGTGGACCGGCGGCGTGCGGCCACACTGAGGGAGAAGCGCAGGCTCAAGAAGGTGAATGAGGCCTTCGAGGCCCTGAAGAGGAGCACCCTGCTCAACCCCAACCAGCGGCTGCCCAAGGTGGAGATCCTGCGCAGCGCCATCCAGTACATCGAGCGCCTGCAGGCCCTGCTCAGCTCCCTCAACCAGGAAGAGCGGGACCTCCGCTACCGAGGCGGGGGCGGGCCCCAGCCAGGGGTAAGTGGCTGTCCCACCCAGGTGCCCCAGGGGCAGGGGCACAGGAGGCACCTGGACAGCCTGGGGACCCCAGTGTGGGGCTCAGTCAGAGAGTTGGAGTAGGTGGCAGGTGGGATCTTACAGGGGCCACAGGACCCCCTCCTTCATCAGAGCTGGGCTGTCCAGTTGACCTCCGGTGTCCCTTTGTCCTTTCAGGCCAAGCTTAAGGCAGTGGGGAGAAGCAGATGTGGAGGGGGTTGGCAGAGGACCGAAGGAGGGATCCAAGAGCAAGTCCAGAGTCAGCCTGGGTGGGAGTGATAATTAATCCCAGCGCCTGGGGATGGGGCCTGAAAGTGGCCAAGTGCCACTTTGTACCCCCCACCCCACGCCATCCCGTGTATGTGGCTGAGCAGAGAGAACACCTACCCAGTGTCTCTCCCAGAGCCCCAGCCGGCCTGCACCTGCTTCCTTCACCCTTATCCTCCACCCTTATCCCAGAGTCAGGAAAACCAGGGACCCCTTTATGCTGGGTGTCCTGCCAGGACAGAATCACCACCCAGGATGGAGGACAGGAAAGGCCTGGAAGCAGGGGCTCCTGTGACCCGGCGGGGGCATGAAAGTTGCTGATTGTGAAGATCCTGAGGCTGGGGGTGCCCTGGGCTGGAGGGCTGCAGCCTATGGCCCACCCTCCAACCCCACAATGGGAGCTTTTGCTCATTGGAACTGGACAGAGAGACACCAACAAAAATGGCCTGCGCTCTGACCTTGGGCCTTCACCCTTATCTTGCAGGTGCCCAGTGAATGCAGCTCCCACAGCGCCTCCTGCAGTCCAGAGTGGGGCAGCACACTGGAGTTTGGCCCCAACACAGGGGGTAAGTGAGACCCGCACCCTCAGAACTTTGGCTCAACCCCATCAGCCTGTCTCTAGGCCCAGTTGTCTCCTTTTACCTTACTTCTGCTCCAGCCCTCTTCCCTTGGTCTCTCCAGGGAACTGCAGAACATGGGGCCCCAAATGGTGAGCCACAAGGCCCTATGCCTCCTCAAGACCTTGACCAGCTAAGGATCAGTCTAGGCCTCCTACGGCTCCCCAGCCCATGCCTGGGGCCTGACCTTCTCCATGGAGAGGAGAATGTCCCCCAGGGGTCCCTGGGAATTGCTGAGTCAGTCAGCACGACTGGGCCAGCCAAGGGCAGTTCCAGTCTCCAGGATGCGCCGTCCTGGCTCCACCTCGGAGTAGCTGCTTTCACATTCTAAGCCAAGTAGGGGAGTTCAGAGAGGAGGCACATGCGTTCAGTGTACGCAGGCCCGGCACTAGGAAAGGCATGGGCTGGGAGTAGGATTCTTGAGTTTTGTTCACCTATCCGTCCGGGCAAACCTGTGCCAGCCCCAAAGAGCTCATTCCCTATCCTGGGTCTTGAAACCCCCTTCACCACCCAGGTAACGTCCTCCCCCCTTCTCCTTACAGATCACCTGCTCACAGCTGACCCTACGGATGCCCACAACCTGCACTCTCTCACCTCCATTGTGGACAGCATCACAGTGGAAGATGTCTCTGTGGGCTTTCCAGATGAAACCATACCTAACTGAGACCGTCTGCCAGGCCAGGCGTCCGTGGGAGCCCCCCACACTGGCTACAGATGCCACCACCTCTGCAGCACGGGCTTCCCAAGCCAGGCTGTCCTGATGCCGGAAAGCCGGCCCTGGGGCTGCCAAATGCCAGACTAGCCCCTTCCTCATCCATATAAGGTTAACTCGCCACCCAGAGAGGGAATGGATGCTCTCATTTAGCCGACTCCTTACAGCAAGGAGCATCCTGTTTCCAGGGAGATAAAGTAGGGGACCAGAGTGCCCCTCGTGTGGGCCCCGTCTCAGGGGGGCAAACTCAGGAGCTTCCCTTTGTTCATAATGCAGCCAATTCCACCCCCTCAAGAGGAACAGTCTGAGAGCTGAAGACAGTGTCCTGAGCAGGACGGGCTGTGTACATCTCCTGTTCTTGTCTCTTCCCGATGCCAGTGGCTGGGCTGGGCCTGCCCTGAATCGAGGGAGAAGAAAGGGAGAAGAACAATCCTCTGTTCCCAAGTCCCTGGGGGGCCAAGCTTTTGCAGTGAATCCTGGGAACCTTCCAGTGGTTTTATGTTTTGTGTTGTTTGTAAAGCCGCCATCTGACCAAGGTCTCCTGTGCACAAGTTGCCAGGACAGGCAGGGAGGGGGGCAGGGGCTCTTGGGGTGATCTCTTTTCTTAACTAAGCATCGTGTGGTTTTGACATTGTTTTGTAATTTTTTTTTTTTGCTAACTTATTTGGATTTCTTTTTTAAAAAATGAATAAAGACTGGGTGCTAGAAGAGCGTCTGTGATGATGTGGAGGGAGGGGGTGCCTGCCGCTCCTGCCCCTCCCCCTCAGTGGTGCAGACAAGCCCCTCAGGTGCCTCCTGAGGACTGGACCTGGTAAGGTTCCAAAAGCAGCTCCAAAAGATAGCTGAGCAGCTATCTTGCTGGTGGTCACCAGGTGCTGCGAGCCCTGCTCTTTTTACCACCACGAAGGAAGCTGGATGTGGTCCACCGGCTGGGTGAAGACCAGATCCACAAACACCTCGAGATCCGGAGGAAAGCCTGGCCAGCGTTCTGTGGCACGCTTCCTTACACATGGACACTGCAACAGTATATGTGCTCCGTCTTAAATCCCAAGGGGTCCAGTCCCTTCCAACTAATGAACATGCTCTCTGCCCAGCACTCATCCCCCTGCCAGCAGGTGGGGCTGTAGAGTGGGAAGTTGTGGGTTTCCCCTCCCTACTCCCTGCCTCTCCTCTGGTGTGACATTACCAAGGCCCCTGCAGGAAAGTGGGAGGTGAATAAATCAGCGTGATTGGGGTCAGACACTGTCCATTCCCTGCAGGCCAACCAGCATGTCCCCCTCGCCACACCCTTCTGTCTCTCCAGGCTGAGGGGGATCCTGGCTCCCTGCCCACAGTTCAGCGGATGAAGGCAGTTCTGCTGGGGGCAGGGGGAGGGCCTCACAAAGAACAATCAAAGGAAGAGAAGCTGGGGTTCTCTTCATGGGATGCTGTATCTTCCAACTACTGGCTGAAGGGAGAAGGTGGGTGGAAAATTGAGAAGATTCTGGACATAAATTACATAAGGACTAGCTGGGGAGATAGCAGGAGCTAGAATTTGAATGGACCATGAACATCTACTAAAAATTTTATTAACTCCAACTGCTTTAGGCTGAATGTCTGATTTATTGCAAATTGTAAGTTTCAGAATCATTACAGAAGTCTGGGGATTCGGAGCGTGATACATTCTAGCCCCCACCCAATTCTTCAGGGCCCCTGTTTGGGACTTCGCCCAGTTTAACCTCCCAGGCTCTGGGACCCATTCTGCACTTGCTCTGGGCTCAGTGGGACCATCTCTCCCATATCTGCCCTCCAGACTTGCTCCTGAAGAGGGCTGCCAACTCCCCTCTCCCAGAAACTGTGCCCACGGAAGAGAAGAAGGAAACCCCAGAGTAGGCTCACAGACCAAGGTGAGGGTGCAGAAGGGAGCAGCCCCCCACCCCGGGGCCTATTTGTCTCCAACAACCAGTCAGGGTTAGGCCTATTGGGAGCCACAGACTGGCTTCATCTGCCCTATCTGTGGGGTTTTCTTCTTGACTCCGTGTCCCTGTGTTTACAGTCTCACCTTCTTGGAACGGCCGGAGAGGAATACCTACGTCATTTGCATGACTTTTAGCTCCCCCTGACTCGCTGCACTTGGAGATGAGGAGATCCACAAGCCTGGGTGCAACACCTTGGCTCTCAAGCCTACATTCACTCCCTTACTATCCACTAAAAACGCTAAACTACACATTCAAAGGGGGAGTCTGCTCCCCTCAAGTTCATTTCCTCCGTCCCTCGTGTCTCCCAAGCTCCTGGGTGGATACAATCCCACCTTCAGTTGCCCTGCTTCTCATTGGGGAGCTAGGGGCAGTAAAGGACAAGGGTACTCGTCTCTACTATACAGCTGATAGGCTCTGGAGTGGCTGACATATTTTCTAAGTTTATTCTTCTTCACTCATCATGTCAATTGGAAACTGAGGTTCATATTCCTAACCTGGTAAGGATGAACAGTCCTCAGTAACGGCCGTCAGGGTCAACTGTTCCTGATCATTGTCAGGGGTGGCCATTGTGTACCTATTTCGTCTTTGGTCTTTAAGTCCTTAAGCTTCCCACCAGAGCGACAAGCTGCTGAGATCTCAAAGGCGTGAACAGCAAACTTTGCCAAATGAAAGCCCAACCTCATCCATTATTTGCACAGAATAAACAATTGTCATCAAAGCACTGAGCCTTTCCTAAAATAAATGCTTAGCCTTCACAATTAAATTACAGATAAGACCCCAATTAATGAATAATGAGTGGTAGTTCTTTAGGGAAATTAACTTAAATCCAGTCTCCAGTGGAAGTACCTGCAATAAATCAAACCGGGTTAATCAAATGTTAGCTAATAATGGCCTTCAGGGAACCCTCTAGAACGTAAAGATAAGAATTATTGGGAATTGGCATACGGGTTGTCAGTGTGTAAATAAGAACTTCTTAGAGTGTCTAGCTAATTAGCGTGAACTGCAGAATGCTTCCAGTACTATTTGTTGCTTCAAGCACCATTGGTTGCTTAGGTATCCAACTTCTCAAGGTCATCTATCTGGCCAACTGGAAAATGATTTCAGTGCTGCCAGTATAGTAGCTGGTAGGACCACCTGGAGAAGGAGGTGGAGGGGGACAATGGAAGGTGAGAGGAGAGGAGCCCCCTCAAATCAGGTGTCTGTTGCATGGATAGAACCCTATCACCAACATGTCACATCCCTTGGACTTGTCTGACTTCCTGGCTTCTGGGCTCCAGGCTGGAGCTGAGGTGCCTGGTGGTGCACCAAAGCTCAAGAAGGACTGAAGGTTCCGGGTTCGGCTGGGGTCTTGGCTAAGGACCCATAGCCCAGGCCTGGGTGGGAACCCCAAACCTCCACACCATGGCAATTCTGGCGGTGCCTCTCCTCCCAGCCACAGGCAACCACCAGGCACAGACTCTGCCTCTCACTCTTCCTGGAACATTCCTAAGGGAGGCAAAGGAGAGTGTTCTAGAAAAGAAATCTAGAATCTTCTTTCTTTTCTACAAACGCTGACAGAAACACGATGTTGGGGTCTCATCTCAAGTTCAGCATGTCTATAACTAAACTCACATTTCCACGTACGCTCACTCCTTCCACATTCCCCATCCCAGTGGATGGCAACACTGGGAAACAGTTTTCAATCCAAAAAAAAAAAAAGTTCTTCTGGATTCTTTCAGATCTCATCCTGTAGCCAGCTGGCCACCATGGCTGGTCAATTCTACCTCCATGGAGTGGGTGGGAAGGGACCCCCAGAGGCTTGCAGGCACAAAGCCAGCACCTTCCCTCCTCTGTGTGCCCTTCCTGCGTCACAGGTGGCCTTGTCTTGCTCCCATCCTGTCACCTGTGCCCATGGACTCTGCCACCCTGTGCCATCAGTGTTTGGGACTGTGGTAGCCTTGGAAAGGATTTGGTCTATTATGCTGCTCTCAAGGAGTCCACAATTTAGGTGAGCAGAAGAAACGTAGTCCACAGAAGCCAAGTACCACATGAGTGTGGGTTTGGGAAAGGGAGCTGGGGCAGAGGGAGCCAAGGGGCAGAGGCTTGAGCTCACTTAAAACAGAAGCAAATAAAAGAGAGAGAGAGAGAGAGAGAGAGAAGAAAGTAACATTTGGTAGGCAGTCCTGGCATTGGGTCAGGAGTTTTAACATACATATTGTAGTAAGGACAAGGCACTGCAGTCAGAAGACTTAGCCTGGGAACCTACATCTGTCTCTTACCAGCTGTGTGGTCTCAGCCTTACAATTTCCTGTTCTGCAAACAGCCAAGATAACACATCACAGGGCTGTGAGGATTACATGAGCTAATACACTGAGCATGCTTAAACGGTATCTGGCACACAATAGTTCCCAGTAAATTTTACTTTATTTAATAATAATCCTAAAAACCCTCTGAGATAAGGTTGATTCATTTATTCACTCGAGTGTGTCCATCTAGGGACCCGGAGATCAATAAGACAGACCCAAGGGCCTTCCTCACAGCCCCCTGTGGGAACGGACGAGGAGAAAGACTGCCTAGCGTGGTGGGGTGCAGAGTGCCAGGGCGCAAAGGGTCATTGCTTATCTAATTCTGCTGGGGAGGGGCTGGTCACGCCTCCCAGGTGATGCTCCACGTGGGTCTGGAAGGTTTGTTGCTGCAAAGGGAAGGCAAGAGGCACTCATGTTGCCTTCTGGTGATGGGGCCGAGGGACAGACGTTCCTGAGTTCGGTGGACTCAGACTTGTGAGTGAGGGGGCACTGGGGCCAAGTCACAGGCAGCCCGTCACACTACATGGAGGGGGTGGGCCTCTGATCGACAGGTAGAGGGAGCTGCTGCAGCATGAGCCAAGGGGTGATCTGAGCAGGGGCCGTGGAGGGGCAGTGGCCCTGGGAGCCTTGTGAAAGGCCAGGAGGAGGGCAGCGCTGGACCAGGTGAGTAGAGAGGAAGAAGAGGAAGAAGTCAAGCCCCGCATCAGGG